CACAGCTTCCACTCTTCTCTGAGCACAGGCTCGAACACTGAGGGCTCTGTATGGGGCAGTGGTGGAGTGTGCTGGCAGCGTGAGGGGAATCACACACACAGACACACATAAGCAGGCACACAAAAATACACACGCGCAGGTATGCACGCACGCAGGCACACATACAAACACGCAGGTATGCACACACACACACGCTCCAGTCCCCACACACGAACGGCATACTCCATGGTATTACCAGGGGATTCAACAGGCCACTAGAAAAACTGATTAGTGAATAATACTCGTATTACTAATAACTGGACCAACTGTTTGTAGCACACATTAAGCTAACTGTTTTATAGAAGCAATAAAGCACTCAAACATGATATATCGTGAAAAACAGGGTTAAGCGGTTCACTTAATGTCTAAAAGTCAACCATAGCCCTGAATCATACTCGACATGCAACTTTCAAACACAGCTTATCAAACTTTCAACATTCAAACTCTGCTTATCAAAGCTTTGCCCTTGAGGTCTTGTCAAGGAGCTAAGGACTCTATACCTACTGCATGCCACATCCCTGCATACCACAAGTCAACTGAGTCGGGTGTAGTGACAATACAATATGGGATAACATTTCCATGCCTCTTCTGATAACATGCCACAAGTGAAGATATCAACATATTAGACAGATCTATGGAAGGGTGGAATGTTATACAATGACAAACTGTTATGAGATAATGTTTTCCTTGCCTCAAATTTTACTTTGCCTTCAGCAATTAAGAAGGCATAGATGGAAACCAAGCACGCAAAGCATCTCCATGATTAAACTCTCGCTTCCTTTTTCTCTAATTCCCTCTCTCTCTCTCTCTCTCTCTCTCTCTCTCTCTCTCTCTCTCTCTCTCTCTCTCTCTCTCTCTCTCTCTCTCTCTCTCTCTCTCTCTCTCTCTTGCCGTCTTTCTCATTTTTTGCATATCTGTTCATGTTTAATGTTTTATACAGTTACAAACCCTAACCCAACATCTCTCTCGCCCTCTCTCAGGATTCGTCCTCAGCTGGCGAGGGAGAAGATCGAGGGATGTCACATCTGTACGTTCTGTATGCCCGCCGAGCCCCAGGTGATGCTGGGTAAAGACAAGGCGTTCACGTACGACTACGTGTTTGACATGGACTCCCAGCAGGACAGCATCTACACACACTGCACTGAGAAACTCATCGAGGGATGCTTCGAGGGATACAACGCTACCATCTTCGCCTATGGACAGGTCAGATATTTGCATGACACACACACACATGCACACACACACAGATGCGTACATGCACAAATGCATGCATATACACACGTGCACACACACACACATTTACAAACACACACACACATACCATATTTGCCTACAGACACAATGCGGTGCAATGCTGGTCACACCCATGGAAAGGGCTTGGCTCTGCCACACACAGGAATCCACCACGTGCCCTGTGGTCTCTGGTCCCTTGCTGGATGAATTCAAAAACAGTGTTGTTACTGTAAGCAAGCAGAACATGTTATCACACCTTGTTTCCAATACCAAACTCACACTGGCTATTACAACATCATTTATCAAACCCCTATCTGTGACTCAGTGAGGGATATACTGTAACTCTGCTAAACTCACATTGACTGTAACAACGTCATTTATCAAACCTTATATCTGTGTCTCAGTGAGTGATATGGCACTGCTAGAAACTGTTCTCAGTTAGGCTCCACGTCTTCAAATGAAGAGAGAAGCAAATAGGCCATGAAAACTCAGTCAACTCAGCAACAGCAGGCATGTTCTAACATGACCAACCTCAGGGTTTTTATTGGCTTGATAGATTAGCACATGTGACTGACTTTCTACAGTACATGTTCATATCTATCTATCAGTGTCACGCTCTGACTCTGAGGACTTGTATTTGTTGAGTCAGGGTGTGTATTTTCTGTGTTGTGTTTGCTAGGTTGTTTTTCTATGTTTTAGATCTAGATGTGTAGATCTATGTTGGCCGGGGTGGTTTCCCAATCAGAGGCAGCTGTAGCTCGTTGTCTCTGATTGGGGACCATATTTAGGCAGCCTTTTGACACCTGTTAGTTGTGGGATCTTGTTCCGTGTGAGGTATGTTATTTGTCTACCTTGGACTTCACGTTTCGTTTGTTGTTTTGTCGTGTGTTCAGTACATAAATAAATATGAATGCATATCACACTGCGCCTTGGTCCTTCTCGTTCATGAACGATCGTGACAGAAGATCCCACCAATCCTGGATCAAGCAGCGTGACGAGGAGAGAGGATGGACTTGGGAGGAGATGAGCGAGAGTCTGGCAAGAGGGATGGAGGCCATGATCACGGGGGAGAGACAAGCCCAAAAAATGTTTAGGGGGGGGCTCACGCCGTGGACGACGAGGCAGCAGGAGGCCGCGATAGAGCGGTTCAGCCGTTTAGCAGAGGAGGCCGCCAGATTAAGGGGGTCATTGGTTCAGAGGGAGCAGAAGGAAAGTGTAGAGGCACGGCGAGAGGAGCTGGTTAGGCAGCAGAAGGACCAAACGAGTGGTGCGTGTCGTCAGTCCGGCCCGATCCTGATTCCCGCACTAAGCCAGTGGTGGGTGTTCCCAGTATGGTTCGGCCCGTTCCTGCTCCTTGCATCAAGCCAGTGGTGCGCATCGCCAGCCTGGTCCGGCCCGTTCCTGCTCCCCGCACCAAGCCAGTGGTGCGCGTCGTCAGCCCAGTCCGGCCCGTTCCTGCTCCCCGCACCAGGCCAGTGGTGCGCGTCGCCAGTCCGGTACGGCCCGTTCCTGCTCCCCGCACCAAGCCAGTGGTGCATGTGTCCAGTCCGCCACGGCCCGTGGCTGTTCCACCGGTGCCTGATCCAGTTCCAGTCCGCGGCTCCACCCCGGAGCCAGAGCAGTTCGATCCACCGTCGTCGGGTCCAGCTCCAGTCAGCGGTTCCAGTCCAGACCCAGACGTCAGCCCCTCTCCAGGTTCGGGGTCTCCCACACCAGGGTCCAGACAGGGCTTGGTACTTCGTGGGAGGAAGGAGAGGGGAAGCAGCGCGCCGAGGTCCAGACCAGACCAGGGGCGCAACGGGGAGGTGGAGAGTAAGTGGTGGTCACACCCGGAGCCGGATCCGCCTCCGAGGCGGAATGGCCACCCGGCCCCTACCCTGTTATGTTTATGTGGCGCAGTCGGAGTCCGCACCTTTGGGGGGGAGGTACTGTCACGCCCAGACTCTGAGGACTTGTATTTGTTGAGTCAGGGTGTGTATTTTCTGTGTTGTGTTTGCTAGGTTGTTTTTCTATGTTTTAGATCTAGATGTGTAGATCTATGTTGGCCTGTGTGGTTCCCAATCAGAGGCAGCTGTAGCTCATTGTCTCTGATTGGGGACCATATTTAGGCAGCCTTTTGACAACTGTTAGTTGTGGGATCTTGTTCCGTGTGAGGTATGTTATTTGTCTACCTTGGACTTCACGTTTCGTTTGTTGTTTTGTCGTGTGTTCAGTACGTAAATAAATATGAATGCATATCACGCTGTGCCTTGGTCCTTCTCGTTCATGAACGATCGTGACAATCAGGCTCTCTTTCACTATATCTCTCTCTCTCTTTCTCCCTGCTCTCTCTCTGCCTGTCTGTCTCGCTCTCACTCTCTCAAACTCTTTCACTTTATCTCCTTCTCTCTCGCTCTCTATCTCTCTGTCTCTCTCTCTCGTATTTTTAGCGTTTCCCTCTGTCACAACCTCTTCCTCTGAACTGAAGCTCTATAGTGGAGGTCTGCCAAACTCGCCTTTCACTCCTCTCCTCCTCCTCTTAATCTCTCTGTCCATTCTCCTCTGCCCGCTACATTCTTCTCAGCCCTATTGTTTCCCTGTCAGACTCTCATTCAGGGGGTACAGCGGGTTGCGGACGCACACACACATGCACACTCACACACAACAATTTATATGTACGCATGCATGCACACACACTCACATGACATCTACACAAATATACACAAAAATGCACGGGCACACACACACACACTACTGACAGAGTATCTTTCAGGTGACGTGTGAATTAGCGTCGCATTCTTTTGGTAGTCACCATGACAACCAAGCCCCTAACCCCAATGTGTGTGCACTGTGCACTGTGCAGTAGTAGCTACATATATTAGGACTAGGCTTTAGTCCAGAAGAAGGTTTTTCTTCTATTCTGAACATTGGGGTTTTGTACTGTTTTTCTATTTGATTAAGAAAAGCTCAACTGATCCCCGCTCCCCGTTTATAACTTGCTGTATTCATGAAATAGCAGCATAGGCCCACTGACTGTCTGAATACGTTTGAAGTAAGATAAATTAGTAAATAAATGAAACAATATCATTGGTTATTTATCCTATCATATCCTCCCCCTTCTTCTCCCTCTCCCCCAGACTGGTTCGGGGAAGACTTACACCATGGGTACAGGGTTTGACGTGAACATCAGTGACGAGGAGTTGGGCATCATTCCCCGGGCAGTCAAGCACCTCTTCAGGGGCATTGAGGAACGACGGCAGGCCGCCACAGAGCAGGGCAAGCCTGTACCCGAGTTCAAGATCAACGCACAGTTCCTGGAGGTATGTGTGATGGAAAGGGCAAAACTTAGTATGTGCTTTTGTAGCTGAGGTGATTTGGTTAAGACGTTGGGTTGATGAGCGGGAGACCCGTATTCAATCCCCACTGGTTACACTTTTGAACCAGAAATACAATCTCTCTCTGTAGTCTCACATTCGCTCTGCAACATGAGGAAGCTTGGAGATGTAGGTTTCTAAATCTCTGAAAAGAAGCCACATTGGCCCTGGAAGGCAAGGTGGAGCCTTCATTATTGCTTACTTAAACCTATCCGATTCCCTTCCCTCAGAGCTGCTAACACAAGAGAGGTATTAGGGGAAAGGGTTCTGGCTAGGGGTTGCAGCAGCTGTGTGTAGCAGCCTGGAGCAGAGGGAAGTATACTGTACTTCTGTCTGCTCATGGGATGTGTTCAGCTAACTTAATGGGATGTGTTTAGCTAACTTAATGGGATGTGTTCAGCTAACTTAATGGGATGTGTTCAGCTAACTTAACTCTACAGGCAGATGATTTATCACCATAGAGTAATTAATAGGTAATTACGTGTCTCACTCAAATCTGATATCGCTTGCTGATATATGTCTCTAACAACTAATAAAGCAGTATACCTGCCATGACCAAAATTACATAGCTACTGATGTTTTCCATGCATAGTTATTTTGCTTTGGGGTATTGGCTCATCGGCTTGTTTTCTCATTTTAAAAAGTATCTATTTTTTCCCCCTATCCCAGCTGTACAATGAGGAGGTGTTGGATCTGTTTGAATCAACGCGGGACATGGATGGGAAGAGACAGAAGTCCACCATCAAGATTCATGAGGACTCTAACGGAGGCATCTACACTGTGGGAGTCACCACACGCATGGTCACCTCCGAGGCAGAGGTTAGTCTCAATCACAGTCTAAAGCAGAATAACATCAATCTGTACCTATGGTCATTGGTTAAATATATGTTATTGCTGTGAGCCTAAATATGTCTTTATATGTGTTTTTCTGAAATTGTCCAACAGGATTTCTCTCTTGAATACACTGTACTAACTCTAAACTCTCCTAACCTTTTCCTGTCCCTGGCCCCTCCCTCCCTCCCTCCCTCCCTCCCTCCCTCCCTCCCTCCCTCTCCCTGTACAGATGATGCAGTGTCTGAAGCTGGGTGCTCTGTCCCGTACCACGGCCAGCACCCAGATGAACGTCCAGAGCTCGCGCTCCCATGCCATCTTCACCATCCACCTGTGCCAAGTCAGAGTCTGCACTCCGGACGACAGCGTACGTGGCATCGCACCACTGGGCTGGAGCTCTCTAGAGCCAAGCCTAAGATAGGATACGCTTTTCACAGTCTATTTTACTGGCTGTACTATTTTCACTTAGCTGTTTTCTCTGTCATTCTTTAGAAATTACATGATAAAAAGGTTATTAGGCTGCATAATCATTACCATTTTATTTGGGGGTTGTTGTAACAAACAACCACTTGTTTGTTGTCAATTGTGAAAATACACATTAATAACATGTCATTTCCTAGTATTTATGAGATAAACCGTAAACACCCCAGCTGATTAACAAGAGGACTGTGAAATGCAGTGTTCCCCAATCCTCCCACACAGTTCCCCAGCCAGCGACACAGTTCCCCACACAGCATATCTCCCCACATAGCTCCCAATGGACACACACACCAGCTGGGCATGATGTCACCCTCCTCTCCCTGCCCGCTGATTACATGGACAATATACAGGCTGTTACGGATACAGATAGGCCTATGCACTGGTGTTGTTATTGAGAGTTATAATGGAAGACGAAAACCACCAGTTATATTTCTCTCATAGGCCTAAACAATGCTACAGCCGAAATGTCGATACATATGTCCAAGACATGGAATTACAAACACAATCACCATGCGTATTTGCCCCACAGTGTCTTATTTGTTTTTATACACAATACCCATCTCCTCCTTCAGGAGTCCAATGAGACAGACAACCGCCTGGCCAACAGTTCCTCTGAGATGAACTCTGAGTTTGAGACGCTGACGGCTAAGTTTCACTTTGTGGACCTGGCTGGGTCGGAGAGACTAAAGAGGACAGGCGCTACCGGGGACAGAGCCAAGGAAGGCATCTCCATCAACTGTGGACTGGTGAGACTCTCACTGTAAAATAATGCATGCTATAATTAGTAAGATGCTGTACACACAGTGCCTGGTTTGGGTCAATTTATGACAAGTTGACTGACTTGAAATGGAATTGACCCAAACCATTCCCGATGCTAGAACAGTGCATGTAAAGGTCATAGATTACTCAGCTCTAGGAGGTTTTAGAGCGTCAGGACAGTGATGATGACATGTCCTCTTCTTGGATGACTGACATGAGCTGTTTCAATGATACACCTGTTGTGTAGAGCTGGGAAACTATGGGGAAATGAGCCTCCTGGTGGTTGAGAAAGATATTGCAGATGTCCTACCAACACTGTCTTCCACCACCTCTTTGATTGACAACTGAATTTAAACATCACATTAAAGGAACGATTTTATGCTTTATTTTGATAGAATATAAATGTTTAAGCCTCATCTCATCTTCATGTCTCCTTGGTGTGGTTTTCCTCTCTCTCTCTCTCTGCAGCTTGCGCTGGGTAACGTGATCAGTGCTCTGGGAGACAGGAGTAAGAGGTCCACCCACGTGCCTTACAGGGACTCGAAACTCACCCGGCTACTGCAGGACTCCCTGGGAGGAAACAGGTCTGTATGTCCTCATAAACCACATAAAGACTCTGTATGTAATAGTGTTTCAAGGTGTAGATATATTAGCAGTTTTATTTTATTTCTAGAATATCACTAGAACCTCTCCCTGAAGCTTTATTCTGTGGATGAATTAATTATATGTAAATGTTTTAAAAGTAATCTATTAAAACTCGAATTTATTTATGCTAGTGGGTGAATTAATGACCATCTATATGAAAAATTCTATATTGTTGAATAAATTATGATAATTAATTAGATTTCTGTGCGGTTTTTCCAAGTAGTTTACAAAGTGATTTACATTGATATCAATACATTGCCTATATAGTTATTCCGTTTCTAATGTAGTCTTATTTTTTCTGTGTGTCTGTCTACGGTCTGTGTCGGTCTTCCGTGCATCTTTTATCCATCTTCTTTCTCTATCCCCAGTCAAACGGTGATGATAGCGTGTATCAGCCCGTCTGACCGGGACTTCATGGAGACACTGAGCTGTCTGAACTACGCTAACAGAGCCAGGAACATTAAGAACAAGGTGATGGTGAACCAGGACAAAGCCTCCCAGCAGATATCAGCTCTCAGGACTGATATTGCCAGGCTACAGATGGAACTGATGGAGTACAAGACGGTAAGAGAAGGAAAGAGGGATGGAGGGTGAGAGAGAGAGAGATATATTTTAGATATCGTTATAAAGGCCCTGTTTTCCATGTCAGGTCATATGGTAAACTGTACCATAATATGGACCCATATAACTTTTAAAACGTACTAACGGCTGCACATGTATCCTTTGAGGCTGTATTTCTGGTAGCCTAGAATCCAACTAATTATCGCTGAAACAATAGTGAAACGGAGTGATATTCAGTGTGGATTTCAGGCTATATTTCTCTATGACCTACAGTCATCTCTCTGGTCCTCTGGTCTGAGCAGGGCAAGCATATAGTAGGGGAGGTATAACAGTGTATAGTTGTATTGGCCTAACTGATCTACTATAATAACCATAGTCCTCTGGTCTCTCTCTGGTCTCAGGGCAAGCGTATGGTGGGGGAGGACGGCATGGAGAGCATCAACGATATGGTCCATGAGAACAGCATGCTACAGACAGAGAACAGTAACCTGAGGATCAGGGTCAAGGCAATGCAGGAGACCATTGATGCCCAGAGGGCCAGACTCACACAGTACCTCAGTGACCAGGCCAACCAGGTTCTGGCCAAAGTGGGTACGTACTGGGACAGGAATAATGGACCTTATTCACACTGCACCATGATGCCTCAAAATCCAGGCTAGTGAGATAAGAAGTGCTCCATTAAAGTCTATGGAAAAAGGGGCTGAAAATGCCCTCATGTTCAATTATCTTTCAGGTGAGGGGAATGAGGAGATTGGAAATATGATCCAGAACTACATCAAAGAAATCGAGGAGCTCAGGTATGATGCATGACATGTCTATTACATGTACAGTATGATGTGTCTGTAGAAAGGAAGGCAGGAGGATTGTGACCTTTGGTTTTGGTGTTTGGAGACCCACAACAATATTATATTCTGACCGTTGGTTTTGTGTCTGCAGAGCCAAGCTCCTGGAGAGTGAGGCAGTGAATGAGAACCTCCGTAAAACCCTGTCCCGTGCCAACACACGTTCCTCCCTGTACGGGGGTGGGGGCTCCGTCTCCGCAGCCCACCTCGCCCCCGAGAGAGAGGCTTCCGACATCATCGAGATAGCCAAGAAAGATCTGGAGAAACTCAAGAAGAAAGAGAGGAAGAAAAAGAAGAGGTAGGCGTTGTTTTTTTCCCTTCATACTTTTGATATTGCACTCTTTGATATTGCACTCACTCCAGGTTTCTGTTTTGATGTACATTTCACATACATGCCATGAAACCGATTGCATTATGTTTGTTACAATTTGTAACTAAGTGTCTATGTCCAAACTTGTGGATGAAACAATACGAAGAAAACGAAGCAATGGGTATACTTTAATGGTAGGCCTTGAGTCTGATAGTGATATGCTTGGTGGTGTCTAAAGATGGGGTGGGCATGGTGGGGTGAGGGGGAGAGGTGGTACTGGGGAGGGGGGGATTAGAGAGGGGTGTGGGGGGATTACAGAGGCGAGGAGAATTGGTTTCCTTTGTTGTCCCAGGGTGTTTTGGGTAATTAGTTCTGGCACCCAGCCTTTCCCCTTCAGCAGCTACCTGTTCCCTCTCTAATGTCTATCTAATACCTCATACACGATGATGGGTTTATATAACAAGCCCAGTCATGTTCAGGTGTACCTATACTGTACAACTGGTCTCTCGCTTTCTCTGTGGTTTAATACACATTTGATAAAAATTTGATAAACAACATAGCACATAAACGACTTGGTACACATCAACAAGCAGAATAAAAGACAACCAGTGCCAAATCCTCTAAGGTTAACCTGTTCTTCTTTGCTACACTCTTTTCTGCTCTCTGGTTCACTCCCTTCCCCTGCCAACCTTACTCTCTCCAACTGTCTCCCCCATTCTCCTCCCCCGCTCTGAAGACTGCAGCGGCTCGAGGAGAGTCACCATGAGGTTGAGCTTGCCAGGTTTGCTATGCCCCGCTCTCCCCCATCTCTCTAACCCACTCTCCTCCCTCTCTCCCCCATTTCTCTAACTCCCCTCTCCCCGCCTCTCTAACACAGCTTTTACACCTACAGGTAGTTGCCACACCTGGAGGAAAACCCATTTGTAATCTCTCACCCTTCTCCTTAACCCTCTCCCCGTTTCTGCATTGTTGAGACCCTTAAACTAAAGGAATTAACTAAAACATTCAGCTTTTTTTTGCCATGATGCAACCACATAATGTCAATCAATCATTCACTAACGTCTACTTCAAGGATGATTCTAACAACCAAATGACTTGGGTTCTGATTGAATTGTGATTCTATCCTTAAATGTATTTTTACAGTATGCAGAAAAATCAAGAATCAAGGTAGTGTGCTCATGTGCTGTATGGTATGGTAGTGCTCCCTGGCTCCCTGATAGTCTAGTGACCTGATGTGGTTGGCCCATCTTGCATTTGCGGTCAATGGCTACCTAAACCTCTGGTTCTGTCCTCACAGTGTGGTCAAGGAGGAAGTACCAGACAACGAACAGGAACGAGGCAACGACGAGGCTGAGGGGGTACGTCTAAGAATGTCCTTAATTGCCATATTTATGTCAGTGTGTGTGTGTTCTTTGTACTCACATTGTGTAAATATGTGTGAGCAGGATGACCATGTCAGTGACCATGAGGAAGGCGAGGAGCTGGAGGGAGAGGACGAGGTGTATGAGATGGAGGGAGAGGAGAGCTCGGACGAGTCAGACTCTGAAGAACTGGATGAGAAAGGTTAAACTCTCTCACACACACACACACAGACACATCCAAAGGTGCTTTTACACTGTCATACAGAATGCCTTGCAACTTTGGTCCTGGAGGGCCGTGTGGAGTGTGTGCAGGGTTTCTTCCAACCCAGCTCTAACAACCCTTATTCATTCACCATGATTAGATTATTCTGTTCTTTTAATAAAATAATGGTGAATATGTCAATGTGTAACGTAGACGCAGGGAGTCAGGAAGCAGGTGCAGATGTTGAGTTTAATAATAACGAACATGAAGAGTTACAAAACAAGAGAAGCGTCTGGACATGAAAACTGAACCACTACTGCCTGAAGAGTGATGCTAGGGAATGCTGGAGTAATCAGGGTAGGGATGGAGTCCAGGTGTGCCTCATGATGTGGCGCAGGTGTGCGTAATGAGGGTTGCCAGGTGTGCGTAATGATGAGTTGCCAGGGCCGGTGGTTTGTCAACCGGCGATGTCTCGTATAGCTAGCTCTGTGTGTGTGTGTGTGTTCTCTGAACAGAGAACTTCCAGGCGGACCTGGCCAACATCACTTGTGAGATCGCCATCAAGCAGAAGCTGATAGACGAGCTGGAGAACAGCCAGCGCCGTCTGCACACGCTCAAACAGCAGTATGAACAGAAACTCATGATGCTGCAGAGCAAGATCAGAGACACACAGCTGGAGAGGGACAAGGTGCTGCACAACATGGGTACGTATACGAGAGAAAGCGACACGCACAGGATATGATGTCATGTACCATGGTCACAACATCGGTACAGCGGAGACGCACAGGAATATGGTGACAGATTAACGAAGGGTTGCATTTATTTGTTTAGGTACTATGTGCTATGTCGGTAGATCTCAGAGTGAGTATATTATGGAGTTATATACCTAACTCTGTCTAACTAATCCTATCCACCACCAATGACATCATACCTGTACATAACATTTTAATGTATTTGGTGAAAGTCTCTGTCATTATTTGTTAATTAACACACCATAAAGTACATGTGCTTGTGTAAATCACTTTGTGACTGTGACAACTGTTGCTTTAAAAAGGCTAACATTTGAATGACTGATTTGATTGATATTCCACTGTGCCTGTGCTGAGCTGTGTCAGTTGAACTGAACTGTGTTGTGTTGTTTCCACCGTGCCTGTGCTTAGCTGAGTTAGTTGTGTCTGCAGGCTCGGTGGAGACATGTACGGAAGAGAAGGCTAAGAAGATTAAGTTAGAATACGAGAAGAAGCTGAGCTCTATGAACAAGGAGATGCAGAAGCTGCAGTCAGCCCAGAAGGAACACGCACGCCTTCTCAAGAACCAATCACAGTACGAGAAACAGCTCAAGAAACTCAACCAGGATGTGGCTGAGATGAAAAAAACAAAGGTAAAGAAAAAATGGTGAATGGAAGGATGGGTGGTTGGGTGGTAGGGTGGGTAGTTGGAGGGATGGGTGGATGGATATATTGACTGATTGATTGATTGACATGTAAGTGGTGGGTGTTGTGCTAGGTGGGTCTGATGCGTCAGATGAAGGAGGTGCAGGAGAAGAACAGAGCGTCAGAGTGCCGACGCAACAGAGAGATCGCTACTCTGAAGAAGGACCAGCGCAAACAGGAGGTAACGTTACAGACTGGAAATAATGTGTGTTGTGAAGTTGTGTGTTAGCCTGAGACAAAGTTCAATTCAATTGAATTCTATTGATATCATGTGGCCTGTCACTTACAGCACCAACTGAGACAGCTGGAGGCTCAGAAGAGGCAGCAGGACCTGATACTACGCAGGAAGAATGAGGAGGTAAGATACACTGGGTCATGTTCAGTATGGCAAACTGTAGCAAAACAATGGAAAACAAAACATCTTTGTCCTTTTTGGACACGCTCAGGTAGTATCTCTGTTTCAAAACATTTTCTCTCTAATGAACATGGCCCTGCTTACCTCCTTCGCAAGGTGACAGCTCTGAGGAGACAGGCGAGGCCCACCTCAGGGAAGGTGAACAGAAAGGTGAGCCTACCGGAACCCCTCCAGGACGCTTCACACCGCGGCATCCCAGGCAGACCTCACTCTGCTGGGGCAGCAGCCCCCAATGGCACCCCAAGGTACTACCAGCAGGACTGATGGTGTGGGTGTGAGTGTGTGTGTGCGCGTGTGTGCGCGTGCGTGCGAGCGTTTGCCCGTGTGCATAGGCATGATGTGTTTGTTAACCAAATAGCTACCCGGACTATCTGCCTTGATACTCTTTGCACTAACTCGTTTGACTCAACACATACGCTGCTGCAACTGTTTATTATCTATCCTATTGCCTAGTCACTCTAGTTATATGTACAGTACATATCTGCCTCAATTACCTCGTACGCCTACACATCGACTCTGTACTGGTACCCCGTGTACAGGGATGGGCTAAAATCTCAAAATACAATTACAAAATACAGATACAAAATACCATAAAGATCAATATATCAAAATAAACTACAACATACTTGTATTTTGTAATGTATTTAATAAAATACAAGTAGCCGGCCCGAACAGCAACAACATTCTCAGTAACGGTTACAAAAACGTTTTACTTTCTATGACTGTGATATGTTGTTGTTTATCTACCTTAGTTGAGCAAGTCACTCTGGATAAGCATGTCTGCTAAATGACCAAAATGTAAATGTATGTGTGAAAATGAACATACCAAATTGAACCAAAGAGACTTCTGATACCAATGCAGGGTGAAAGGGGGCCCACAAAATGTGAATCACTATAAAACATTTAGAAAAGTATCTGGTATTTTGAAAATACAAATTACAGTATTTTGAAAATAAAAAATACATTGGAGTGTAGTTCTGCCCAGTGTAATTAAAATGACAAAATACTCAGAAGTAATTAAAATACGTATTTCAAATATATGTAACAGAAATACTGCCCATCTCTGCCTGTGTATATAGCCAAGTTATCGTAACTCATTGTGTATTTATTCCTTGTGTTATTATTTTTTCTATATTTTCTCTCTGCATTGTTGGGAGGGGCCCGTAAGTAAGTATTTCACGGATAGTCTACACCTGCTGTTTACAAAGCATGTGGCAAATACAATTTGATTTGGTTTTTGATTTGATTTGTGTACAGGAAAGGACTCCTACTCTAGCTAAAACAGGACAACAATATGTCCCTCACCTAGTCTTTGTTTTTCAGTAATATATTGGTCCGTACTGTACACTGATCTCTGTTGAATTCCACTTATCAGGAAGTACCCGGTGAGGATGGGGAGTGTCTACACCACCAGGACAGCTCGGGCTAAATGGCAGTCTTTGGAGAGACGCATCACTGACATCATCATGCAGAGGCTGACCATCTCGAACATGGAGGCTGATATGAACCGGCTCCTCAAGGTGAAATAGACGTACTGTAGTTTTACTGTATTACTACCAAGTCTACTGTATTCCTATCAGACTGACGCCAACGTAGTTCTCTGTCTGTGGAAAAAGGCAAAAACCGACAGGGGAGTATAAAGAGACTCATCATTGTTGCCGTTTTGGCTACACTCTTAGAATTAAGGGTGACTCAAGGAACCCTGGAGTTCCTCAATAAAACATTGCAGTAAATGGGTTCATATTTGCACCATTGGTTAGTTCAGGGGTTGTTGAAGGAACCTTTAATGTTTCAATTTAGCAAAGGTTCCTGGGGGAACCTTTTTGTCGGCACGTGCAGATCACTTTGAATTTATTTTGCCATCGGATTTGTTGTGCTGCCAGACTCAGAAGAAGATGAAAATGTTGTTTTCGCCGAAGGCTTTATGGGATAGCTAGCAACTTGTAAACAATTACCCATTCCTATATGAGTACTATTTTAATACCAATGTTGAATAATACATTATTGGCTGTCAAGCCAATCAAATTATATGACTGTAGCTACTGTTTTAATTCCGAAAAGTTTATTGTGATGGTAATGACGTTTGTTTATGATGATAATTATTAGGTGTTGGCTTAGGTTGCTAGCTAGCTACAGTATCTTCAACCTAACCAACACTCTTGGTTGTTTGGATGACCCAACTGCTGGGTTGCAGGCATTGGGTCACTAAGTTGGGTTGTTTTCTTTAAAAGGGCCAGGTTGAGTTGTTGTTGATGCTGGGTTATTGATGCTGGGTTATTAAGATATGACCCAGCGGGTCAGATGAGAAGACTGCGGTACATGGCTTAGAAAGGGTGGTCCTTTCAGATAGTTCTATTTGGCCACCCGTGGGAAGAAACATAATTCCTGTTCATCTTTTCTGTTATATTGTCATCACACGTTGGGCTCCCGAGTGGCACAGTGGTCTAAGGCACTGCATCTCAGTGCTTGAGGTGTCACTACAGACCCCCTGGTTCGATTCCAGGCTGTATCACAACCGGCCGTGATTGGGAGTCCCATAGGGCGGCGCACAATTGGCCCAGCGTCGTCCGGGTTTGGCCGGTGTAGGCCATCATTGTAAATAAGAATTTGTTCTTAACTGACTTGCCTAGTTAAATAAAGATAAAACACATTAAGGTTGAATACTGATAATTTTGTATCCTCAATGAAGCTTACAGACGTGTATGAGTTCCTCAAGAGCCTTTAGACGGGTTGGTTGTGTGATTGACGCGTACGCAACTATGTGGCAAAACAGACAGGGTTGGCTTAGATTGTTGACAACATGTAAACTATATTTTGTCTCCAATGTTTATTGAAAACATAAATACATTTGCACAATTAGCACTTGTTGTCTCTCAAATACATAGTTACAGTTGTTGGTTAGCTAGCTAGGGAATTTTAGTCATATTAGCATAGACGTGACATCAGTCAAAACACCTCAAAACAAGACATCGTATCAAGATCAAGATAAAACTAGCTGAAACGAGCCACCTACGATTTCCCACATGGCAGCTTCTTGTCATTGTTGCTGGCTATCTGGCCATCCAGAATCACAACAACACACCACCTTATGCCCCATTGAAGCGCGCATCGTTTTTGTGACGTTGTAGCCCGTCTATATGCAAATCCCATTGTTGGAATAGTTACTACTTTATTACTATATAAAGAGGTCATTGCATTGGATGACTGTCATGGCTCTACAGTGCCTTCAGAAAGTATTAACACCCCTTTACTATTTCCACAATTTTTAAATGGATTAAATTGAGATTTTGTATCACTGATCTATACGCAGTACCCCGTAATGTCAAAGTGGAATTATGTTTTTGAAAATGTTTACAAATTCATTAAAAATGAAAAGCTGAAATGTCTTTGAGTCAATAAGTATTCAACCGTTTTGTTATGGCAAGCCTAAATAAGTTCAGGAGTAAAAATCTGCTTAACAAGTCAAATAATTGTGTTTACCATGATTTTTATATGACTACCCCATCTCTGTACTCCACACATACAATTATTTGTAAGGTCCCTCAGTCGAGCAGTGAATTTCAAACACAGATTCAACCACAACGACCAGGGAGGTTTTCCAATGCCTCGCAAAGAAGGGCACCTATTGGTAGATGGATAAAAATAGAAAAAGCAGACACTAAATATCAATTTGAGCATGGTGAAATTATTAATTACGCTTTGGATGGTGTATCAATACACCCAGTCACTACAAAGATACAGGCGCCCTTCCTAACTCAGTTGCCGGAGAGGAGGGAAACTCCTCAGGGATTTCACCATGAGGCCAATAGTGATTTTAAAACAGTTACAGAGTTTAATGGCTTTGAGAGGAGATAACTTAGGATGGATCAACAACATTGTAGTTACTCTACAATACTAACATAAATGACAGTGAAAAGAAGGAAGCCTGTACGGAATAAAAGTATTCCAAAACATGCATCCTGTTTGCAATAAGGCACTAAAGTAATACTGCAAAAAATGTGGCAAAGAAATTAACTTTTTGATCTGAATACAAAGTGTTATGTTTGGGGCAAAACCAACAAAGCACATTACTGAGGACTACTTTTCATATTTTCAAGCATGATGGTGGCTGCATCATGTTATGGGTAAGCTTGTCATCGGCAAGTACTAGGGAGTTTCTTTGGATAAAAGAAATGAACTAGAGCTAAGCACAGACAAAATCTTAGCGGAAAACTTGGTTCAATCTGCTTTCCAACAGACACTGGGAGACAAATTCACCTTTTAGAAGGACAATTACATAAAACTCAAGGCCAAATATACACTGGAGTTGCTTACCAAGATGACGTTGAATGATCCTGAGTGGCCTAGTTACAGTTTTGACTTAAATCGGCTTGAAAATTAATGGCAAGACTTGAAAATGGCTGTCTAACAATGATCAACAACCAACTTGACAAAGCTTAAATATAAAAAAAATAATAATAATAGGCAGAAATTGTAAAATCCAGGTGTGCAAAGGTTTTAAAGACTTACCCAAAAAGACTCACAGCTGTAATCGCTGCCAAAAGTGATTCTAACATGTATTGACTCAGGGGGTTGAATACTTATCTAATCAAGATTTTTTATTTTTTTTATTTATTTCACCTTTATTTAACCAGGTAAACCAGTTGAGAACAAGTTCTCATTTACAACTGCGACCTGGCCAAGATAAAGCAAAGCAGTGCGATAAAAACAACTGTATATTAGTGTTTTATTTTCCATTAATACAAAATAAAAAAATTATTTGTTCTTCCACTTTTAGTATTTTGTCTAGATCACTGACAAAAAATGACAATTAAATCAATTTGAATCCCACTTTTTAACATAACAAAATGTGAAAAAAGTAAAGGCGTGTGAATACTTTCTGAAGGCACTGTATATGTAATCAGCAATGTTAATATTATATTCAGAGGGATCACTCCAGATCCAAGGCGAAATTCAACATTTGTGCAGGCCCCCAGGACGTCAGGACACGGCATCAAAAAAAGGGGAAAAAACACTGGGATTGAACACGCTGTCTACAGAGCCAGAGGCTTAGACTACTCCGCCATCTGTCTACAACGATTTAGCAATTCCAGTCGGAATTAATGCCTAAGGTTTGAACCCTATCCCAAAACTTAATACTTAACTTAACCAGTCGGAATTAATGGCTAAACTTAACCCTAGAGTTGGTTCTGTTTTAACCCTATCCCAAACATTAATCCTTAATTTAACCCTGTCGGGGGTTAATGCCTAAACTTAACCCTAGAGTTGGTTCTGTTTTAACCCTATCCCAAACATTAATCCTTAATTTAACCCTGTCGGGGGTTAATGCCTAAACTTAACCCTAGAGTTGGTTCTGTTTTAACCCTATCCCAAACATTAATCCTTAATTTAACCCTGTCGGGGGTTAATGCCTAAACTTAACCCTAGAGTTGGTTCTGTTTTAACCCTATCCCAAACATTAATCCTTAATTTAACCCTGTCGGGGGTTAATGCCTAAACTTAACCCTAGAGTTGGTTCTGTTTTAACCCTATCCCAAACATTAATCCTTAATTTAACCCTGTCGGGGGTTAATGCCTAAACTTATCCCTAGAGTTGTTTATATGTGCCTTAATTTACCACGTTTGTCACAGAACATCAGGAGATGAAGTCAGTTTACTCATCAAAAATTGACGTTAGTCAAAGGACATCGGTACATGAAGTCAGACTGTGATATCTTGTTGTTATATTAGAATATTTAATATGCATAAACATTCAAGGAACATTTAACTTTATAGTGTACAAACTTTATATGATGAACAGGAATGACATTTACTCTAACAGGTGACCAAAAATAAATATCTGCAAGCCACTCCTCCAATAAGCCACGTCTCCATTTTCTGATAGGCTGCTGCTACACAATATATTATTAAAAAGGTTAAAAATGGAATACGTTCCATCACGAAAAGGTTCCTGTTTGAACCTTTACACAGGCAGCCCAGTATCAGCGTATAAGCGTCAATCTGTGAAAAGATATGGATCATGTCACAGGGGTTCCGCGAATAACCTTTTCAGAGGGGTTCCTCAAGGAACCTTTGTGACCTGGAAAGGTTCCCCGTGTGGCAATTTTTAGAACCCCCAAAAGGATCCTCCAGACTTCGGAAACACTTTTATTATAACTATTTTTTTCTCTCTCCCACCCTGCCTCTTACAGCAACGTGAGGACCTGACCAAGCGAAGGGAGAAGGTGTCTCGTAAGAGGGAGAAGATCACCACAGAGGGGACCGACACGGACCGAAGCATCCAGTCTTTCAACGAGGAGATGGACGCCCTGGCGGCCAACATCGACTACATCAACGACAGCATCGCTGAATGTCAGGCTAACATTATGCAGATGGAGGAAGCTAAGGTTAGCTGACGCAAACACACACAGTTTCTTCAGGAAATTTACCCTTTCTAGTTATTAGTACAGGTGATGCCAGCCCACACATTGTCTTCATAATTGTTATTATGACTGACTGTGTGATGTTGTTGTGATGCAGGAGGAGGGAGACACAGTGGACGTTACCGCGGTGATCAGCTCCTGTAACCTATCAGAAGCCCGCTTCCTGCTTGATCACTTCCTGCACATGGCCATCAACAAGGTTACCACAGAACACCTGTCCCTATTGAGTTCTCTTTACCTTTCGATTATTTTATTTTTTTAAACACTATGTTTATTTTAGAGTTAAACATACATATCTGCTGTTCTGTGGGCTGAATATCACACCACTCTGTTGATGTCAGTGTGGGATTTATGTGTGTGTTTGTTATGTATGTAATGTATGAATTTACTGATATGTGCGTCGCCCAGGGTCTGCAGGCGGCCCAGAAGGAGTCCCAGGTGAAGGTGATGGAGGGCAGGTTGAAGCAGACAGAGATCAACAGCGCCACTCAGAACCAGCTGCTGTTCCACATGCTGAAGGAGAAGGCTGAACTCAACCCTGAGCTGGACGCTCTGCTGGGCAACGCACTGCAAGGTATAGATAGCTCAGTGGTATAAACACGCTGCTTTTCAGTTCTTCATCTTTTGGTTACACTTTATTTTACAGTCCACTGTTTTATCTGACATTCACAATGGTAGCTCAGTTGGTAGAGCATTGCGCTTGCAACGCCAGGGTTGTGGGTTTGTTTCCCACGGGGGGCCAGTATGAAAATGTATGCACTCACCAACTGTAAGTCACTCTGGATAAGAGCGTCTGCTAAATGACTAAAATGTAAAATGTAAATGGTAATGATTGACCTAATAATAACAATTTATAGAAAACATATCTCCCATATTGTTTTTCTTTCGGATTCAGTAAAACTTGTACCATCACGTATTCTCTTACTAAATAGCCTACCAGTAAAATACTGACTGAAACAGGACTGTAAAATAAAGTGTCTCTATTCTTTTAACTTTTGTTTGACTTTGATTTCTTTGTTTTGTTTTCCTGTTTGTTCACCCTGAATTCAAACAGAGATAGGTTACCTAGTGGTGGGTAAGTAACAGATACCAGACTGATTGGTCCCAGAGAGCATGGGTCTCCCCTAAAGCCCCTCCTCCCTCTAAAACTTCCCTTTAAGACTAACCTGAGAAGGTAACTTTGCCATGAGGTGCATGAGGTGGTGTGTTGCCCCCTGTCCCCTGACCCTGACTTCCCTGTCTGACCCTCCCCGTCCTCTTTGTGGATGTCTAGCTTTCTCCTGTTCAGCAGACTCATTCAGGACGACCTGAATACTAAGAATTAACACTAGCTTAAACCCTGACCCCCACGCAAACCTGAAGTTCAGGCCTTAACTAGAGTAGTACTCCAACTCCAACCTTTACTAAGTTACCCTCCTTAAAATGTAAACGTCAGATGCATCATACTAATATATAGTATACTATACTATTGACCTCCTTCTGACCTTGTCTGACCCCTGATGGATTTAACCTGACCTCTGAACTTTGAACCATGTACCTTAGAGCTCTTTTGAATTCAAACGATTGTTTTGCTGCTGCAGCATTAGTTTGAAAACACTGTATGCATTTGTTTTCTTTGTGATATCCTGTTAATTGACTTTGAAAACGGTCTACCTCTAACAGTTTAAGATAGTAAAGTAACACAAGTTTAGTGCTTGTAATGGGATATTTGAAAACATGCTGTGAAGCCATAACTACCCCATGTCAGACCATGCAGTAACTGAGGCATGTTGTGTATCTGAGGGCCCAGTGTAACAAGGTGTATGGTTCTGTCCTCAAGCAGAGAATGGAGATGACAGCAGTAGTGATGAGTCCTCTACCCCCAGCCCAGCCACAGAGGGAAGGTAAATACCATTTGACTCAGACATGACAATGAGGATATTGAATATTTAATTTAATCACTTAAAGCTGGAATCTTACTGGTGAAACTGCCACATCCGTTTGCAATATTACAAAAACAAAGAAGTTACTGCAAACAACTAACACTGTTTTTTCCCCCTTGGACATCATTGTACGTGCGATAGAACAGAAGAATATGTACTGCAATTTTTTTACCACGTTGGGCCGCGCTCCTCACCTCTAGTTTGTCAACTAAACAAAAACAATAACAATGGCCGACAGTGCCGCTGTTTCTCCTACTTCGGATTTCATCTTTAATGTCTGTTTATACCTTATTATTAGACTATGAGTAACATGTAAATTGCCCCTCTATCTTTGTTTCAGTTCATTGGCCTCTGACCTCCTGAAGCTGTGTGGAGAGGCCAAACCTAGGAAGGTACAGTCATCTACAGTACTTCACATGCAAAGCATTTTTCTAAAAACCATTTAAATTACATTTTCATGAACTCTAAAGTTAAGAAGTTACTGATAAGCACTATGAGATAAATGCTATTTGTAAAACACTCTTTATGAATGGATATGTTATTAATTGATTGATTGATTGATTGATTGATTGATTGATTGATTGATTGATTTGATCGATCCCACTACCACAGGCACGCAGAAGAACAACCACCCAGATGGAGCTGCTGTATGCTGGTAGTGGTGAATTTGACTCTCCTATGGGGGACTTCTCTGCCCCCCTGCTACCTCTGGCAGAGGCCCAGGAAGGGACAGGGGACATGGGGACAATAGCAGGACATCTCGGGGACAGGGAACTCACTGTGTCCCCCTCAGCACTGTCCACCAGGATAGCTGGACTGTAAGTCCTTATTTTGGTCAAATGTCTTTGTGTTTCGTTTTTAGAACTATAGTACAGGAAATACAGTGAGATACTTGTGGAGTAAATCCTTACCTCCTGTATGTGCATTTGATGGGTCATCATAACAGTGTTATTGTTGAAAAAAATAGTTCATCAGCACGAGAAGGATAGAATGTTTAACTTGACCCAGAATGCATTGTAACCTTCAGTGATGTACAGTCGTGGTCAAAAGTTTTGAGAATGACACATATTGGTCTTCACAAAGTTCGCTGCTTCAGTGTAATGAGATATTTTTGTCAGATGTTACTATGGTATACTGAAGTATAATTACAAGCATTCATAAGTGTCAAAGGCTTTTATTGACAATTACATTAAGTTTATGCAAAGTGTCAATATTTGCAGTGTTGACCCTTCTTTTTCAAGACCTCTGCAATCCGCCCTGGCATGCTGTCAATTAACTTCTGGGCCACATCCTGACTGATGGCAGCCCATTCTTGCATAATCAATGCTTGGAGTTTGTCAGAATTTGTGGGGTTTTGTTTGTCCACACGCCTCTTGAGGATCGACCACAAGTTCTCAATGGGATTAAGGTCTGGGGAGTTTCCTGGCCATGGACCCAAAATGTCAATGTTTTGTTCCCTGAGCCACTTAGTTATCACTTTTGCCTTATGGCAAGGTGCTCCATCATGCTGGAAAAGGCATTGGTCATCACCAAACTGTTCTTGGATGGTTGGGAGAAGTTGCTCTCGGAGGATGTGTTGGTACCATTCTTTATTCATGGCTGTGTTCTTAGGCACAATTGTGAGTGAGCCCACTCCCTTGGCTGAGAAGCAACCCCACACATGAATGGTCTCAGGATGCTTTACTGTTGGCATGACACAGGACTGATGGTAGCGCTCACCTTGTCTTCTCCGGACAAGGTGTTTTCCGGATACACCAAACAATCGGAAAGGGGATTCATCAGAGAAAATGACTTTACCCCAGTCCTCAGCAGTCCAATCCCTGTACCTTTTGCAGAATATCAATCTGTCCCTGATGTTTTTCCTGGAGAGAAGTGGCTTCTTTGCTGCCCTTCTTGACACCAGGCCATCCTCCAAAAGTATTTGCCTGACTGTGTGTGCAGATGCACTCGCACCTGCCTGCTGCCGTTCCTGAGCAAGCTCTGCACTGGTGGTGCCCCGATCCCGCAGCTGAATCAACTTTAGGAGACGGTCCTGGCGCTTGCTGGACTTTCTTGGGTGCCCTGACGCCTTCTTCACAACAATTGAACCTCTCTCCTTGAAGTTCTTGATGATCCGATAAATGGTTGATTTAGGTGCAATCTTACTAGCAGCAATATCCTTGCCTGTGAAGCCCTTTTTGTGCAAAGCAATGATGACAGCACATGTTTCCTTGCAGGTAACCATGGTTAACAGAGGAAGAACAATGATTTCAAGCACCACCCTCCTTTTAAAGCTTCCAGTCTGTTATTCTAACTCAATCAGCATGACAGAGTGATCTCCAGCCTTGTCCTCGTCAACACTCTCACCTGTGTTAACGAGAGAATCACTGACATGATGGCAGCTGGTCCTTTTGTGGCAGGGCTGAAATGCAGTGGAAATGTGTTTTGGGGATTAAGTTCATTTTCATGGCAAAGAGGGACTTTGCAATTAATTGCAATTCATCTGATCACTCTTCATGACATTCTGGAGTATATGCAAATTGCCATCATCAGCGTATCACTTAGACTGTTCATGTCACTCAGTTGGTGTGTCTGTCTCTATGTTGCGTAGTTCTGGAGCCTGGTGTTCTATGGGATCTGAGAGGAGATCACTGGAGCGCTCGCCTCTAACACGCAGGAGGATGCTAGAGAAGGGAGGACAACCCCCCTTAGACATCAAGGAACACACACCTATGGACCCCAAGGGTCACCCAGCAAGAGAGACAAAGTCACACATACCCACGCCCACAGCCATAGAAAAGACCAAAATCACAGACAACAAACCAACGTAAGAGCCATTGCATGAAGCCGTTAACACACCACTACACAAATGTCATGTTCGTACGACGTCCCGATGGTCATAGTAGTACTTACTTCTTGTGTTTCAGGTTGGAAGAGTCGCTTATATATCAAGGACAAAGGTATGTAACACTACTGTATGTCTACCTACAGTATATATTATACTACTGTATACATCTAATGTCCTTTTTCACTCTGGCCCCCCTTCCAGCATTGGGGAACATCCCGCAACCCCACCTGCGCGCGTGCACACGCCACATCTATTTCTATGGGCACAAGCACTGTTCATGACATTACTTTTGTCCTTGTTATAGAGGGGTGATCAACCCTGTGTCATCCCCTAAGAGCAGCCATGCTGCCAGACTACAGTGTGTCTATGTGGCTGAGGGACACACCAAACCTGTCATGTGTGTCGACTGCACTGATGACCTGCTCTTCACTGGCTCTAAAGGTACAGCTCTCTAGTTCTATAATGTTCGGAAACAAAATCAAACCTTGACCACTAAACCACGACCCCTAGAAACTTCTCACACCTGAAAGGCTCAGATGAGTGTAAGTCATATTATTTGGTATTAGCTTCATCTAGCTTTCTGGTATGGTTGATGGTGTTTCTGCCGTATTGCACACTCATCGTAACCCCTAACCATTGACCTCTAACCTGTGTGTGTGTGTGTGTGTGTGTGTGTGTGTGTGTGTGTGTGTGTGTGTTGTCAGATCGTACGTGTAAGGTGTGGAACCTGGTGACTGGTCAGGAGATCATGTCTCTGGGAGATCATCCCAGCAGTGTGGTGTCTGTTAGATACTGTTCCAGCCTGGTCTTCACTGTCTCTACCGCTTACATCAAGGTCTGGGACATCCGAGACTCCGCCAAGTGCATACGCACACTCACGTGAGTAAATATATACTATAAGTATTCAGACCCCTTGACTTTTTCCAAATTTTGTTACCCTACAGCCTTATTCTAAAATTGATTAAATAAAACAAATTCCTCATCAATCTACACACAATACCCAGTAATGACAAAGTGAAAACAGGTTTTTAGAAATCTTAGCAAATGTAATAAAAATAAAAAACTGAAATACCTTATTTACATAAGTATTCAGACCCTTTGCTATGAGACTCATAATTGAGCTCAGGTGCCTCCTGTTTCCATTGATCAACCTTGAGATGTTTCTACAACTTGATTGGAGTCAACCTGTGGTAAATTCAATTGATTGGACATGATTTGGAAAGGCACACACCTGTCTATATAAGGTCCCACAGTTAACAGTGCATGTTAGAGCAAAAACCAAGCCATGAGGTTGAAGGAATTGTCCGTAGAGCTCAGAGACAGGATTGTGTCGAGGCACAGATCTGGGGAAGGGTACCAAAAAATGTCTGCAGCATTGAAGGTCCCCAAGAACACAGTGGCCTCCATCATTCTTAAATGGAAGAAGTTTGGAACCACCAAGACTCTTCCTAGAGCTGGCCACCCGGCCAAACTGAGCAATCAGGGGAGAAGGGCCTTGGTCAGGGAGGTGACCAAGAACCCAATGGTCACTCTGACAGAGCTCTAGAGTTCCTCTGTGGAGATGGGAGAACCTTCCAGAAAGACAAGCATCTCTGCAGCACTCCACCAATCAGGCCTTTATGGTAGAGTGGCCAGACTGAAGCCACTCCTCAGTAAAAGGCACATGACAGCCCGCTTGGTGTTTGCCAAAAGGCACCTAAAGGACTCTCAGACCATGAGAAACAAGATTCTCTGGTCTGATGAAACCAAGATTGAACTCTTCGGCCTGAATGCCAAGCGTCACTTCTGGAGGAAACCTGGCACCATCCCTATGGTGAAGCATGGTGGTGGCAGCATCATGCTTTGGGGATGTTTTTCAGCGGTAGGAACTGGGAGACTAGTCAGGATCGAGGCAAAGATGAACGGAGCAAAGTACAGAGAGATCCTTGATGAAAACCTGCTCCAGAGCGCTCACGACCTCAGACTGGGGCGAAGGTTCACCTTCCAACAGGACAACGACCCTAAGCACACAGCCAAGACAACGCAGGAGTGGCTTTGGGACAAGTCTCTGAATGTCCTTGAGTGGCCCAGCCATAGCCCGGACTTGAACCCGATTGAACACCCCTGGAGAGACCTGAAAATAGCTGTGCAGCGACACTCCCCATCCAACCTGACAGCTTGAGACGATCTGCAGAGAAGAATGGGAGAAACTCCCTAAATACAGGTGTGCCAAGCTTGTCATACGCAAGAAGACTCGATGCTGTAATCGCTGCCAAAGGTGCTTCAACAAAGTACTGAGTAAATACTTAGGTAAATGTACATTTTAGAATAAGGGTGAAAATTAACAAAATGTGGGAAAAGTCAAGGGGTCTGAATACTTTCGAAGGGACTGTATATACAAACACCAACAATATTTATATACACCTCTAGTAATAAACCGAAGACCTTTGTTATGTCAAAAGTTGGAGTTGAGCTTGCCAGTTCCTTTTTCAACACATTCTAGCACATTCCAACACAGCCCAGGGAACTTCAGATTCTTAATTTGCTACTTAAAAAAAGTACTTTTACACAATGTCATTCCCATTGACATGGTATTGACTGCGTGTGTATGTGTGTGTGTGTGTGTCGCAGGTCGTCGGGCCAGGTTAGTACAGGGGACAGCTGTGTGTCTCTCAGGTCCTTGTCCATCCCTCCAGGAGAGAACCAGATCAACCAGATTTCTCTGAACATCACGGGATCCTACCTTTACTCCGCCTCTGGCAACTCAGTCCGCATGTGGGACCTCAGGAAGTAAGAATGAAGGCCAAAAAAGCCTTGTTTTTTCCACCAAGAGCAGTTGAATATCTTGTTTAGTTAAAGTAAGGACTGGAGGTGGCACAAAATAAAGATAAAAGGAGAAAAATTGCGTACACCAAAACAGGCACAGGTGCTGAGTGTAGAGTGTAGAAAAGATAGATAGTGAATGCTCATCATTACTCCCAAGTATGATTTTTAGTTGTACCGAAGAGTCCTAGATCTGAACTCTCCCTGACCCTTGAACTTTGACCTTATGCTCTAGGTTTGTGTCTACTGGCAAGCTGACGGGTCACCTGGGTCCGGTCTTGTGTCTGACCGTCGACCAGATGGGCAACGGTCAAGACGTGGTCCTAACGGGGTCCAAGGACCACACCCTGAAGATGTTTGAGGTGACGGAGGGTGTCCAGGGCAGCATTGTGTCCTGTCACAACTTTGAGCCGCCACACCAGGAGGGTATAGTCTCTCTGGCTGTTCAGGGGGACAGCCTCTACAGCAGCTCCAGAGACTACTGCATCAAGAAGTGGGACCTGTCCCGCAAACGACTAGTACAGGTAAGACATACTGGACACTAGCTGTATATACTGTACTGCTAGTACCTGAAAGAGAGACAAGGCTCTCAAAAACATACAATGAGCTGATAGCTGTGATTTTCACATTGCATGTTGCTTTGTAAGCATCAGATCTTGTTTTGTTGAATTGCTTTTGCTAGCTGCAACATTATCATCATTGTAAGACCAGTAGTGGTAGTAAACAAAATGTATTGTCCCCAAGGAGTTACTTTTCAACTGTTTGTAGTCCTGTTTTGACCTAGTGCATACCTGCTTCCTCCACAGCAGGTGGCGAGTGCCCACTCTGACTGGGTAAGTGCGCTGGGTGTGGTGCCAGGGTACCCGGTAGTGCTGAGTGCAGACAGGGGAGGTCTGCTGAAGCTGTGGCACGCTGATACCCTGGCACAGCTAGGAGACCTGAGGGGACACGACAGCCCTGTTAACGGACTGGCTACCAACAGCAGCCAGCTATTCACTGCTTCAGAGTGAGTTTAACGCCTAACCCTAACATGACCCTTGAATGCCATAGGAGTCTACAGCTATGTCTCACAGAGAAAATATCTCCTAACTTTGACCATGATCCCGATCATACCCTGACCCTAACCCTCTGAGTATATCAACACACTGTTACTATAATAACAAAGTCATAGTTTAACCTAAGAAAGAGAGATAATCAAATCTCTGATACACATGTTGATCCAGCGATTTCATGTTCTTTCTTGTGTGATCTTGTGTGACAGTGACCGGACAGTGAAGATTTGGCAAGCAAAGGGTTCTTTGGAGGAAGGGATCCACTGACACTGAGAAGGAGACCTCTGGACGGTGACTGGACACAGCTCTGTGGATCTACTAGATCACTCTGGATCTACTACAGCCCTATGGATCTATTGCTGCTCTGTGTATCTACTACGCAATGTATTTGCTGCTGCTCTGCACAATGATCCATGGATGGAGGCCCTCCAAGACTGTCACAGGGCAGATGACCAGCCCAGACACACCCATTGAGTTCACCAACGTAAGACATTCACTCAACAGGGCTGGAGGAGAGTAGCACAACAGTCATGGTATTCACCTGAAGAAAAGTGAAACTCCAGTGAAATGCCCATGGTTCTGTCTCATGCTGTATCCTTTCTATACATATCATAGAGGAATCTTCCGGTACAGTGCGTGGAATCATCTCTCTGTGTCGGGAGGTGGGATGTCTTCTAAATAAAGGCCCTATGGAGGTTGGTCTTACAGCAGCTGTTACTGCCAAACCCTATGGGAGACTCATAGAGCCTCAGTGGGGAATAGAGATGTCTCAGTAGGAATAGCACAGTGAACTAGTGGTGTGGGATGGTGTAGCTGATCTTTGCTTCAGAAACAAAGCTCAATGAGGGTGTGTCGTCATCATGCTACAAATGTGATCGTGGAGGTTAATCTCAACCGAATTCAAGTATTGCGTTTAATGTCGTTACCTGCAGATTGTGTGTGACCAAAGTACAAACCTTCTCTGTGTTAGTCAACGGGCTGTTATGAGAGTATCTTTAGCCAATGCATTCCGTTGTACTTGCCTGTGTACAGTACAGTACCTCTGCAGTGGTCTTACTCTCTTTGTATCATACAAGTACAGTCAAACCTCAAACTACAAAAAGTGATTTGATCTTTAATTTTCTGTCAACATTTTTGTATTTCTGTGTGTTTTCCTGGTGACTTTGAAACCTCCAAAGTTCTGCGCTTCCATTTCATGTTTTATCCAATGGCCTGCGTCAATCATTTCAGAGCCCAGGTAAAGTGAGGTCACCAGTGCACAGGCGTATTTACTATCTTAAATCAACTCAAAGTTTATTGGTCGCATACACAGATTTGCAGATGTTATCGCAGGTGCAGCAAAATGCTTGTGTTTTGTAGCTCCAATAGTGAAGTAATACCTAGTAAAAAAAAAATTCTGAGTGAGTTTTCCTGTGCCCAGGTATGCCCTTCCCCCAATCTGATTCAGGAACAGGCTGAATAGAATAGATAGTAGATAGTACAGTATCACAACCTAATTTGTGTGGACTGGCCCAGTATCCCTAAATTGGGTTGACATAGGGGTTAAATGACCACATCTTTATGTAAATAAGAATCCGTTTTTTTTTTCTCCTGGACATCTTGTGCACAAATTCCGACTTTCTAGTGATTCTAATGTCAGATGCAGTGTGGAAATAAATGTAATCTGTCAAAAATAACATGAACTGGTATATCTTTCAACATGGAGATGTGTGTTGCCATGATACCACCAACTGGTGGCAGTATAATACAGTATCATATTAGGAAACATGACACGGTTTCAAAACAGAGAACTTTGGCACGGGAGATTTGTTTTCCTTCCTCCTGTTCTTCGGTAGATATTCAGTCCGTGGCAGTTTTAATCTGTTGCAGGAAAACGATTCCATCTAATGTCCATGAACCAATCTCCTCGAAATGTTCATAAACACATGCAAAACAACCTGCTTTGGTTGGGTCTTTTGCTAATTTGTTTGCAGCAGATAAAAACATTGCAAGAATTCCATAAAGGCAGACCATAGGCACATATCATAGCTCCAAGGTATAAACGGTGAGCATGGTAAGAACTATACAGCTCTCCTTACCTGTGAATTCCCACTTCCTGCATGGTCACCTGTGTGCCTACCTATGCATGTGACCAGCGACCCTTGACTCAACATATGTGGGGTCATCATGGATCACTGGTCATGTAGGCACACATGTGACCAACAGTGTATACATTTATTGAGGGGGAACCTTTATGATGACATTCTTGTTTTTTCCATTAGCTTCTTTCTGAAGAAGAGAAGTGATGGGAATGAATCAGTATTTAATGTACAACAATTAGAGCATCAGAGTTTCATGTGTACAATAAGAACAGAACAATCTCTTGCACCTTAAGCACTGCATTACTTCTGAACCACGGACTATTTCTATTTTTAATCACTGTTCCAAACATCACAAGCTACTGTATATTTAATACAATGTGGTCCAGCCGTATAGAGTTAATTCAGTGTTCTTAAAATAGCCATGATTCTTACTGCACTGTCAGCATATTCTGATAGGGTTTCTTGGTCTGTTCTCGGTTTCTCATATTTCTAACATACTTTATCCCAAGATAACACCAGGACCTAGACGGTACTCTTACAGTTTCATAATAAATCAATGTACAGACCGACCTCAATAACGGCTATGTGGGATAAGAGTTCCTGTCTGGGGTTATTTTTATCTCAACCTATATGGGTTTGACAGGGGGCTTCTGTGCTTTTCTGAACCTGGTTTAGTATCCTTTATACCTGAGAGAAAAGAGCTGAAGTGTATGGTAAATAGGGACCCTATTCCCTGTATAGTGCACTACTTTTGACCAGGGTCCATACTCTGGTCAAAAGTAGTGCACTATACAGTATAGGGAATGAGATGCCATTTGGAATACAGCCATTGTAGCCAGAGACTGATAGTATTTTTCGGCTTTTGAATTTGTCATAGGGATTATGTGACTGGCTACATTCATCCAATCTCTCCTGGGGTGTGTGTGTGTGTGTGTGTGTGTGTGTGTGTGTGTGTGTGTGTGTGTGTGTGTGTGTGTGTGTGTGTGTGTGTGTGTGTGTGTGTGTGTGTGTGTGTGTGTGTGTGTGTGTGTGTGTGATCATATTGACCCTGTGAATCATTGCTTGAATCATCCCTCCCTTCAGTGATATTTCTACAATACTCTTTATTTCCCTGTTGAGTCACAGTTTGTATAATTTGGCTTTGGAATAAAGGGTTGACCAAGAAAGGGAAGGAGAGGGAGTAAGATAGCTTGATTAGACTGAGAAACAGTGTGGGGGTCAATACCAAACACAACAATGCTTACCTCACATACAGGGAATACTGTGCCATTTCGGACACACCCAGAGTGAATTTCCTGGCATCTGCTGGGGGAGGATGGAGAGGATGGGAGGATGGAGCGAGGGATGAGAGGAATAGGGGAAGAAATGTCAGGGAAGAGAGGAGATATCCTGCCCCTCAGTACACAGATCATGGGTTATGATGAGGTGTATTGTATTAATTACATACGGGCATTTCCATCTAAAAGGACCCATGAGCACCAACATGTGAAGTTCATAGGAGCATATCAAATTGGGTGTCAAATGAAAGAGTCTATGTTTTTGGGAAATTAAGGCATAGATACATTTTTCAATCATTTTCCATCTTAAAAATGTGGCATAATTAAAGGATTTGATTTCTGGATAAACAGATGGAAAAGGGGTCTTAGAAAACATTTACCAGAAAAAGTCTTAAAAGGTATCAGAAATACATAAAAACACAATAATGTTGACGTAAAGACCCCTGCCAACTAATATCAACACTTATATTTAGTTTTGGAGAAATCGTTCACCTTCTGTAAGTTTAAGAAATATTGCTTTGTGCCTTGTAATTCCATTACCAAAAACCCACATACATGTCTTTAAGATATTTTCTAATTTCTCTCCCTCGTGAGGAGGGAGGATAATGAAAGTTCACAGAAGTAACAGGCAATGGTAGACTTACCAATTCATTGAAGTGATTTTACTGATATATTTTTTTTTATGAATGATTAAGATATTAAAACTCGTAATTCGGTTATCAAATTGGTAACGGAATTACCCAAAAATCACTAACAAAATTACTGCAACTGAATTGGCTACAATGGGAAATCATAATAGTCAAAAACCACAGTTGGGTCCCCTGCTACTGTCCTCCCTTCCACTGGCATACTGTTATGTTCAGCTCATAACTGTTTTCTTTCTCTTTCTGTCACGTGATCAAAGCAAGAGTGTTAAAACAGTCTGGACAACCCCTCCCTCACCTCTCTCCCTCTCTCTCTCTCTCTCTCTCTGCCTTTGTCTCTCACTCTCCAGTTAATGTCACCTCTCCCAGCTCTTACTGACAGCTACCCATGAGCCCTCTCACTTTCCATTTACTTTAACCAGCATCCTCACCCGCTGAGCACCGACCAACACCGGACGTCCATGGACGTTAAAAAGTACTTGAAATTTGATCAGTCCACCCTGCCGTTAATGTTAATGTCCACAGACGGACATGACTGGACCAAATCTGAACCTATCATCAATGTGTGTTTCAGAAGTTTGGTGTTTCACATGTTTGGATAGCAAAGTACAGTACAGTAAGTAGAGTACAGTACAATACAGTTCAGTACTGTACAGTGAGTCAAGCACAGTAGAGTACAGTCCAATACAATACAGTAGTACAGTACATTACAATACAGTACAGTACCGTAAAGAAAAGTAGAGTATAATACAGTACAGTACTGTAGTACTGCACTGAACTATACTGTACTGTACTGAACTCTACTGTACTGTACTCTACTTACCCTACTGCACTGTACTGAACTCTACTCTACCCTACTCTGCTGTGCTGTATTGTACTGCAATGTACTCTTCTGTGCTCTGCTGTGCTGCGCTGTGATGTCCAAACTTGTGAAACATGGGGAGAATGACAATCATATCCATAATTACGCATTTCTGTGTAGTACAGATCAGGGACCCATGATGTAATTCAGTTACCGTAATTCCGTTACCGGGTGTAAATACACTTCACTTACTGTAGTTTAATAACCAAAATAGATTTTTTCAAACTCAAGGTGCCAAGGTGCCATTTGGAAAACGTGGTCACATAAAAACCTGAGGGAGATTTTACCGTAAAAGTTTGCATCTGCACAGTTCTTCCACTAAATTAGTTTTTGTCAATTTTTCAATGGAAATTGTTAAAAGTAGTCCTTGTGCATAGAGTTGTATGGTTTGTTAAACTTTGAAATCAATGTTTTTAGTTTGGCATACATTTTAAAGTAAAAAAACGGAGTCAAAGCGTAATTCCGTTACCATGGAATTGCCCATATACCTTGCAGTGGGCTCACTATCTTTAACACATTGAGCTGTTACAGCTGAGTGGGCAGCTGATAATATACGCTGTTTTATAGAGAGGCTGTTTTATTATATTCAATCAGCTCTGTAGGGATGTGTAGGAGGGCACTTAATACAATTGGGGGTCAATTACTCCTGGTCTGAGAGTGCAGGACTGTTGCCATACATACACACCACTAAATAGAGTGAAATAGGCCTACTGTATAAAACATTAGAGGATACAGAGGCATGGAATTCCGCATGGAATTATTTATTATCATGCGTTAAATAGGCTACAGTGTTACTTTCACCTGGATTCCTCACACCTATGAGTGGAAATGGATGCTGTTTCATGTTTAATGCATATGTTTATACAGTAGTGTATACTGTGTGTGTCTCTGTCTCTCTCGTTCTCTCTGTGTGTGTGTGGTTTTATGTGTGTGCATCTGTGCATTTGTGTCAGGACTGTGTGTTTTGTGTGTGTGTGCATGTGAATGTACTTATTTCAAAGGATCTATTTGGGCATCACTTACAGTAACTCTTTGATGAGTGCTGGCTGGTTACCTAAAGGTGCGGTAATGGTTTCTCTCACCAGCTAGCGAAGGGTCTGTGTGTGAGCTATATTTGGAGGGGATGGTCAGGCCTGAAAAATACTGGGTAATGAAGATGATGAGTCACCCCAAGGATCAAATGTCTTATATCCAAACATAGTAAACACATACTTGCTTTGTAATTTCTTTTTCTGGTGACATGAAAATTATGATGGGAATATAATTTTGAACACTTTAAGACCTATTACACACGCACACGCACAGACAGACACACACACACACAAACACACACACTCGCTCTATCATAATTATCTATGTTATTATAAGTCATGACATGGTCAGGGTTAGCCTAACTCCTATTTGTTTCTAGTGTCCTTACTGTGGGTCTCTTATGAATGTCTGTTATGATTGTAGCCTATTTATCAGATGGGCATCTGTGGCATTCTTTTGTCCAAGGCGCACATTCCTCTAGCAGCGTTAGTAGGTGACTCTGACTGTCAGCCTATGAAGTGACATCACCCCACCGCTAGTAGCCTGCTCGGAGCGTTCCTCCTCGTTCCGTCTACATGCATTCATTTTCGTTTCGATAAAGGAGGTGTAGTTTATCCGATTCTTGCTGCTAAAAGGGGTTGGACAAAAATATTTTCCCATCATGAACAACTGCAATAGCTTCGTCAACATGGCGTCGATAGGAGATTTCGACCCTCTCAATGCTTCCATCCCCGCCACCAAAGTTGAAATCACGGTGTCTTGCAGGTAAGAGAATGCCTTCAGTGTAATGAATTTTTGTCGGGGGTTGATATGACTGTTGTCACGGAAGAAGGATATGATATGGGCAAGTATTCGGGCTTTTATCTGCCATTCCAACTGGCCAACTGTCAAACAAGTTCTGGTTGTAGTAACATTTTGAAAAAGTAAATGTTGTTCATCCAACCGCACTGTTTATAATTAGTTTAGGCTACATTGTATCTAGATAAGAGTGAGGTGTTCAAATTGTTACTTTGTTTTAGTTTTGGGTGGTAAGTATTGTATAGGCAGTAACTAGCAGTCTGCCTGTTGGAGGACTGGCAATGGACATCAACATGCTTGAATAGGCATGAACAACAATACCAACGTTCCCTATATTGGGATATAGCCGTATGTTAGAAGACTGTTCTCACCGAATAATCTGACACTTAGTCTTGTTTTGTTCTGACTCGTGGCTTGTTGTGGACTGGGACTCACCGAGCTGATCAGAGGAACACAAATAGATTTACATTGACATTTGACAAATAACCCTTCAAGGTAAACTATATGACAGGAGTATGCTAATGTTTGATATAGTGCAGCGACAGTCAGACGTGTCTGTGAGCTGGAATAGAAGGGTAGGCTAGATATAGCGGGTTGAGAGTGTATCACTAGCCTGTTTTTTTGTTTTGTTTTTTTGTTACCACCCTCTCTCTCTGGAGACGTGCCTTCCTGTTGCGTAACGGCTCCCCCGGTCTCCGCCAAACCTTACAGTTGAAGTCTGAAGTTTACATACACCATAGCCAAATACATTTAAACTCAGTTTCACAATTCCTGACATTTAATCCTAGGAAAAATTCCGTGTCTTAGGTCAGTTAGGATCACCACTTTATTTTAAGAATGTGAAATGTCAGAATAATAGTAGAGAATTATTTATTTCAGATTTTATTTATTTCATCACATTCCCAGTGGGTCAGAAGTTTACATACACTCAATTAGTATATGGTAGCATTGCCTTTAAAATTGTTTAACTTGGGTCAAATGTTTCGGGTAGCCTTCCACAAGCTTCCCAAAATAAGTTGGGTGAATTTTGGCCCATTCCTCCTGACAGAGCTGGTGTAACTGAGTCAGGTTTGAAGGCCTCCTTGCTCGCACACGCTTTTTCAGTTCTGCCCACAAATGTTCTATAGGATTGAGGTCAGGGCTTTGTGATGGCCACTCCAATACCTTGACTTTGTTGTCCTTAAGCCATTTTTCCACAACTTTGGAAGTATGCTTGGGGTCATTGTCCATTTGGAAGACCCATTTGCGACCAAGCTTTAACTTCCTGATGGATGTCTTGAGATGTTACTTCAATATATCCACATACTTTTCCTTCCTCATGATGCCATCTATTTTGTGAGGTGCACCAGTCCCTCCTGCAGCAAAGCACCCCCACAGCATGATGCTGTCACCCCTGTGCTTCACGGTTGGGATTTGTGTTCTTCGGCTTGCAAGCCCACCCCCTTTTTCCTCCAAACATAACGATGGTCATTATGGCCAAACAGTTCTACTTTTGTTTCATCAGACCAGACGACATTTCTCCAAAAAGTACGATCTTTGTCCCCATGTGCAGTTGCAAACTGTAGTCTGGCTTTTTTATGGCAGTTTTGGAGCAGTGGCTTCTTCTTTGCTGAGCGGCCTTTCAGGTTATGTCGATATAGGACTCGTTTTACTGTGGATATAGATACTTTAGTACCTGTTTGCTCCAGCATCTTCACAATGTCCTTTGCTGTTGTTCTGGGATTGATTTGCACTTTTCTCACCAAAGTACGTTCATCTCTAAGATACAGAGCGCGTCTCCTTCCTGGGCGGTATGACGGCTGCGTGGTCCCATGGTGTTTATACTTGCGTACTATTGTTTGTACAGATGAGCGTGGTACCTTCCGGCGTTTGGAAATTGCTTCCAAGGATGAACCAGACTTGTGGAGGTCTACAAAAAAAATTTCTGAGGTCTTGGCTGATTTCTTTTGATTTTCCCATGATGTCAAGCAAAGAGGCACTGAGTTTGAAGGTAGGCCTTGAAATACATCCACAGGTACACCTCCAATTGAGTCAAATTATGTCAATTAGCCTATCAGAAGCTTCTAAAGCCATGACATCATTTTCTGGAATTTTCCAAGCTGTTTAAAGGCACAGTCAACATAGTGTATGTAAACTTCTGACCCACTGGAATTGTGATACAGTGAAATAATCTGTCTGTAAATAATTGTAGGAAAAATTACTTGTCATGCACAAAGTAGATGTCCTAACCGACTTGCCAAAACTATAGTTTGTTAACAAGAAATTTGTGGAGTGGTTGAAAAATGAGTTTTAATGACTCCAACCTAAGTGTATCTAAACTTCCGACTTCAACTGTATGTATTTAAGGGGTCCCTTTAGAATAGATCAACTGAGGGAATGCTGGCCTCACTGGAATGGGAATCATAGTGTTGTCACTGGACTGTCACTCATTATTTAATCAACTGATATTGAAGGAAAGAGGAAACACACAGTGAGACATTGTAACCACTCAATAACACATGTCATATTAAAACAAAGTGTAGGCCTACTTCCCAATGAAATTCCGTGTAGATCTCTCACAATGGACTCAATTGAATAAGAGGGAAATTAATTTCGTAATAACCACACACAATAAACAATAACTAGTTACTTTATCTGACCATACCATACTGAACCAGTAGCCTACTTCCCTAGGGGAATTAATCCATTAAAATGTGTTATCTCTATCACCCAGGAGTCATACCTATGTGAGTCTAACTCATAGATGTGGTAATGCTGGTC